ATAGTTAGAATCCTGAGTTTGTGCACTATGGTGTACGTTACTGAAACACAGTTGATTCTTTAACTAGAAATCCTGCTTTTAACAGATGTGGTTAATCTGTGCAAGAAGTACTAAGAAAAACTTTTATATAGAAAGCGAGATTAAAAACACAAGGTGCTTAGAATTGCAGGAATTAGATTCTTTACTGTTGTTGCATTGAAAACAAAAATGTTTCTTGTTTCCTGAGGACCTTGATTTTCTCGCTTCTGATCCGAGGAGGGAAGCCCACGCCGCTCTACTCGTTTGTCCTGGCCTTCGTGTTCTGCACCTACAACGGCTACCTGCAGAGCCGCTACCTGAGCCAGTACGCCGTGTACTCGGACGACTGGGTCACCGACCCCCGATTCCTAACAGGTGAAGGTCCTTAGTGATGCCTGCCGCCGTTCTAATTATAACTTCAATTTTCATGTTCCAATCATTTCTAGTTAGGAAACACACATCTCTGGAGAGAACACAGGGTCGAAAGGTTCATGACTGACCTGGCCGGGGAGGCGGGAGGGGACAGCAGCGCTGGCTTGGGCGGCAGGGAGTCAGGCTGTCCCGGGGCCGCATCAGCAGCCCGAGCTGACACAGGTGCCGGCACCCTCGCCCACTCAAGGGCTGAAAGTGCAAATACCTGTTCTTCAGGTGCACCTAAAAATAGCAGCAGGCCCCAGCAGGGTGGGCAGTGGACTAAAGCAGAGGAGGCTTGGGCACTAATCGGCCATGTAATCTAAGATAGGCATTAAACCTCCTGCAGTTTCTTCTGGAAAATGATAGGACGTCAGGTTAGGTCATCTTCCCACAAGGAAATCAGGCTGTTACGGTTAGACTAACTCGAGTATACTGTTAGGTTTGTGAAGTTCTCAAAGTGTTTTTATTTTTATCCATTAGTGTAAATTAATATACATTTTTCAAGTTCTCATTAGAACAAAGTTCTAACCTGAGCAAAAACGATCATAAAACATTAGCCATCAAAAATATTTGCAAAATACCTCCTAAATTAACATGGTAAATCAACTACACTTCAGTAAAAAAACAAAATTTAAAAAAATTTTGCAAGAATGTTGCTAAATACATAATTTGGGGCATCTTATTTATAAGGAAAGATCTCCTATAATGTTTACCCTCAGAGCCTCTGGAAATTCTAGCACATTCAGAGAGCGCTTGCTGCCGTGGGAGCGTACTAAGAGTCTGAAATTGGACCATCAGATTTTCAAACTGCCCACTTCCTTTACCTTAAGCTCCATAAAGTGACCTTCCATTTCATTTGGCTTTTTCCCCATGTGTATCAATTTGTAGAAGTAAATAAGAGAAAACTAACATTTTGAAAAGTACTTTGTTGTTGACGAAGCCCTTTCACATTTCTCAGTCATACATTTTCTGTGAATTAAAGCTGTGTTCCCAGGGCAGTGTCCTCGTCATACCTGAGAATTGTCACAACAAGGGGTCTGCCTCCTTATCCATCAAAGAAAGGATGTATGCAAACATTTTCAGGATCCTTCTCCAGCTTCACAAATCTCTGCCTCCGTGAAACACGAGACCAAATTGTTTTGCTTGGACGCTGCCCCAAACATCATCTTGATTTACCAGCTCTTTGACTATCTGATTTTCTTCTGCCCCCGCTATCAGGAGGAGGAGAGGGAACAGGCTCGGCCACCTGCCTGGAGCTGCACACACACCTTCTGCCTCCCAAGGTCCAGAAAAGGGCAGAAATTAGATTCTGTTCCCACGAGGAAGGAAAAGTCAGAATGTTGAGCAGCTGGCCCAAGATCTAAATCGAAGTAATAGCAGAGTGATGGTTTGCACCAGCTCATCACGCGGACCTACAGAAGCAGGCAGTGGGGGACAAAGGAAGGGGGTTGATTTTCAACTAAAAGATAAAGATTTTAAGTGTTTACTTGAGATTCTCATGGGAATCATTTCCGTGTTTAGATACTTTTTGATGAACGTCAACAAAACCAAAGAGTTCTTTTGGTCTGTGAGTTTAACTGTCATTCAGCTAGACCATGTTACCTGTAGGTGCCTCTGTGAAGCTGGTGTAAAATTTAAGGCATCAATAAATTGTATACAGACTTCCTGCCTCTCTCCCATTGAACAGAAGGAACCGAAAATGAAGAAAAAAGAAAATGCCAATTGAAAAAACAAATGAGGTTACTTTGTTGGGTATTATCTTTATCTCATACAGTTTATAGCTTTTGTAATTACATGAATAATTCTTGAAATCACATAAATAATTCATTATATTTACAGTAGTTGCCACAAAAAGCTAAGCAAATAGGCATCAAATCCTAACAAGAAGTCTTCCAGAGCAGTAAAAGCAGTGAATCTGAAAGAATTTGTACAGAGATGTTACGATCCCTAACTGTGGAATTAAGCGTTTAGCTCAGATGAGCACAAATATTAATGTCCTTTCTAATCTGTGCAATGAAGGAAGCTTGCCTCCTAGAAGAGAAACGAAATAAGCATGAAATGTTGAGAATGTGATTTTTTCTGGAACCTCGCACTGGGGGCCAGGTCACCTGGGAGTGGCGTACTGAGACTCAAAGGAGGGAGAGAGTCAGCTATCAATTGATGGGTCCAGCAAGTGGGTCATAAAACATATCACAAAACAAAACTGGGTAC